ATTCTTAAAAGTCATACATATAGTGTCGTCGACATTTTTTAAAATAATTTTAAGGGAAACAATTCTTTCATACATATTTTTTGGATATCTTGAACCGTTTTTGCAGCGTAAACATCGGAAACCCACAAAGTTGAATAATTTTTCTCGTTTTTTCCACGTTTACCTCTCTTTTAAGCTCCTCGACAAACGTTCTAAGTAACACGAAAATAAATAGTTCCTGAGATTAGCGCGTTGAAACAAACAAACAAAACCTTCAGCTTTATATATTTGTATAATTTGTTAAAAAATCAAACAACCTGTGATAGCCAATTTTATTCTTGTTCACCACACCAGTTCCAAAATAGAATAGAATACCTTTATTCAAAAACAACATTTACAATTCAAACTTAATCCGATACAAATCTAATCTAATTAAAAAAATATCAAAAAGTATATAAAGAATTAAAATTACTACTACAATACAGTTGCCTCTGAAAAGGAATCCACTCAGTTATGTTGGGACTTCAGTCCCAACACTGATATTCTGTGGCCCCTTCAGAAGCCGAGCTAACGCAAGCAAGGTTGTTTTACATTTTTCTTACTTAAACATTCTTGCTCAAACTTAAACATTAACGCTTAACATAATTACACTTATACCTTTGAAATTATAATAATAAACTATAGTCTCATATATAGACACGTTTTAAATAGTGGAGTCCCGTCTGAAAATGTAGATTTTCAATTCGTAGTAAAAATATCGAAATTAAATCCGTGTAAACTACCACACGCCAAAATGAGGCATGCGCGAAGTTTAAATGTACGCCACGTAGTCAATGGATCTACAATTATCCACAGGTAGCGCATCTTAATTAGATGTCATAGAGGTATTTCAGCTTTCAGGACAATTATTAATATAGTTCTCCTTTGTCATATAAAAATATCCTTCACCCAAACGTTGTTTGTTCAGTAATATAATTTGTTAAAGGGAAAGGCAAAATTAACTAAATTCATTATTTACTCGTAATATTTTTTTCCTTACACATATGTAAACTTGTGTCATTTTCGTAAAGTGATATTAATGATGATGAAATTGATGTTCCAGCTTGTCAGTCGTGCGTGACTCTTTGACGAAGAAAAAAACACTCCTTAAATTAATATTAGTTATGGGATTACATTAAAATAGGACAGGGTAGTGTCGTCAGGGCAGTATAGTGTTTTTAATATACTAAATACGTGTTCATATAACCGCACTTTTTAAATAAATTTGTTTACAGTGTTTAAATAAAACACTTTAACGGTTTAAAATGCGATATATTCGTTAAATTTATTTGAAAATGATTTTTAACTTCGACCCGACGTTTCGGATGCTTTGCAGCAGCCGTGACCACGTAGCGTTTTAAACCGTTAAAGTGTTTTATTTAAATGTGTACTACTCGCGTAAACTATAGACAGTATTTGTTTACCGTGTTCAAGAAAATACAAGACCTGCCCAAGGCGTAAACCGTCCTACAACTTGCTTAACTAAATAACAAATACCAAGTAAGTTATTTTGTTAAAGAGGCAGTAAATAACGTCTGTTCTTTAACCTGTTAGCAAGTTCTGTGCGCCGCAAGCAAAGTGGTTCTTAACTTTGCAAGGAAATATGTTGACTATCTTGTTAAATTATCTTGTTATTTAAAGCCGCGTACGCGTATTTATTTTTCATAATAATAAAAAAAAAGATTAGGATTGCAGATTTAAATATAAGTACTAGTAATAAAAAAGTGTAAATTGTAAGACATTAAATTATTTTACTTTTTTTATAAAGACGTGTTATGAACATTGATACTTATAACAAAACTGGGCTAACTCTACTAAAATAGTAGAAGCTTATTGTATCATCAGATATGTTTCAATAGTCGAGTTAAAACTTTGTATATTGTATTCTTCTCTCTTTTAAATGTTTTTCCAACAAAGGCGCAACATTTCATATCCTCTTGCTTCAGACGCAAGCGCGCACTTAGCAATTTCCTTTGAATTTTTAAGTGGCTCTATTTATAAGTACTGAGTAGGCTATATTGTCGATCAATGCATTATTTTTAAATTGTAACAAATATGCTGTTATAACCATTGAAATTGAAAAAGCCGTGAAATTAATCGTGTTTTGATTTCAGTCTGAATTTCAAAATAGTCAAAAACAGGCTTTAGTCTTAGGTATAGATAATATTATAATAATTAAATTTGTTCGGTATTTCTTACTTTATTGTAATTTATTATATTGTATATCTACAAACTGTAATATTGTCACATTTCCTAAATTCAAGTAGTTTTATATGGAGTTTAAAAATATCTAAAAACGGGATTAAAGGGGAAAAGAAGATTTGTTGTGATAATTATTTGTTTAACACAGTATGGTAAAATATCAAAATGTTTGTTTCCAATGCTTAGTTCGAATAAGAATGTTAACTGTGACTAATGTTCGGTCTTTTCAATGAAATTCTAAGCCACATTATATTTGAGTCTAAAAATGTACGACTATTGTCAGGTTATGATATGAAAAAGACTTTCTAATCTACGTACAAATTAGTTTTAATTGTATCTCTGGTACTTTTCCTGTCTCGAAAGCTTTTGAAAAACGAATGAATATAAATGACAATGCATATTTAACTTCGCAACATATTATGCTCGAATGCTTGACCTAATTTCGAAGCTCACTTTTGTGGCAAATATGAATCAACGGTGCGCTAGAAAGGTGCTCCTACGCGGGTAGTTTTCTATTTAGAAAATATTTAAACATTAAAACTGGGATACTGCTATATACATTGACAAAATATAATCGTGTACGGCTACTTAATGTATAGCTTACTGGACATTGTCGTCTGCAAACCTATAACATATACTGTCGATAAATGTTTAGGGAGTATTTCTAACCGTCGAACGTTAATTTAGTTAAATAATTCCTCTTTTTTTTCATCTATCTATCTGTCTAAATTATTGTAAAAATCATGTACATCGTGGTAAATAAAATTAACTTCATAACCAGCACAGGAAATATTTTTATCGCAACCTGCAAATCGTTTATAAGCAATTTCTTAACCTAATAAACTTACCTTAACTCAAAGATTTGGTAGTCAAGGAGCTGCTTCTTCAGAGCCGGTATCAAATTTCGAATTAAATAGAATATATTTAAGAAATAGTCAACAGGTAACACAGGTAACAAGTCAATATATCTCAAAAGTACAACAATATCGAGTCTACGTCACGAGTACTAGAATCCGTAACAACGTGGATAGGAAGACGAAATCAAGCGTAATTAGGTAATAGAAAAATAATAGAAATCCAAGAGGAGTAGACATTACAGATCACAGGCTAGGAATAAAGGGGCGAAGGCGAGTGGATTGATATCTCTGTACGAATTCGCGCGCGTGTTTCAACAGTTGAAAGGCCAGAATCAACAAGTGGTTGGTCGGGGCGGACGCCGTGGGCCTTCGACGACCGCACGGCGAGAGTACTCGCCCGCCAATGTGCCGAGCTCGTGTTCCCGCCTCCGACAACTGCGCCTGTGTGCCCAGGCCTTACACAGCGACCCTTATTGTTATTTGCGTCACTGTAACCGCGCTTATGTGTGCATAAATCTCTTTGTAAGCGCCCGATGTTTCAGGGTGACTGCGGGTGTGTGTGTCACTTTGGTGTTTGTGTGACGCGCCTACAGGTCTAGGCAGGTGAGCCCCGGCGGCCCCCAGCCATTAGCACAGTCAATAAACAGAAGACAGTACTCCAATTTCTTGATCGGTCTAAAATTATAAATGGGTTTTACGAATACGTTTTACAATTTAAATACAACAAATTCATGAACTAAGTACACAAATTGGAATATTGTTAATAATTAATGTCAAAACATCTATGAAGGTCAATGATTGGTAATATTAATGATTAAAATAAAACACTTTAACGGTTTAAAACGCGATATATTAGTTAAACTTATTTGAAAATGATTTTTAACTTCGGGGAGACTGCCCGTGACCATGGCTGCTGCAAAACATCCAAAACATCGGGCTGAAGTTAAAAATCATTTTCAAATAAGTTTAACTAATTTATCGCGTTTTAAACCATTAAAGTGTTTTATTTATTAAAATTATATGCAATACCTACTTGGTGTTCAATTCATACAACTTAGTTATACTATTGAAGTTTGAAAGTGAGCTTTCAGCTAACGCTACATTCGCTACGAAGTCTACGCCGTAGCGTGTATTTAGTCCTTACTAAGACTTACATCTAAGCACCCACTTAAGACAACAGAAAGTTAAGGTTGATATTAAGGGATTAACAGTGTAATAAAAGCAATAAGTGTGAAAGTGAATACCAAAATATTATTATTATATTATTTGTACAACTTGCAGGATTCTGTATTTGAAAGGTCGAAGTGTCGAGTGTTATACCAAAAAAAAGAAATGAACTTAAACATTAGTTAATAACTTCTAACTTGTAAATAAATATTTAAAAAAAATGATACAAACATGTATTTTCCGGGCTTTAAAAAGTTTTTTAATTTAATGGGTCTCCTATTCTATGAAATTTGTCAATGTCACGTATCCTCATAGTCAACAGTTCGTGACATAAATGACATTGACGTGATAATGAATAGAATGTGAAAACTGTCAATGTCAATTCTCTGACGTGATTTGACTCGCATGACGCATAGAAGTCTAGTCAATCTTAGAATGACATGGTAAATACTAAATAGTGAGCTGTAATCCATGCAGTTAACGACACGTTAATTGGAAGTTATTGTTAGATAATGTATTAAATACTCGAAAGTAATCTCACCTTTAGTTTGCGGCCTAGTGCCGATTATTGGACCTTTAAAGTGTACCATCATATATTTTATCGGCAGCCATAATACGGTTTATATAGTTTTGCGTTTATGAATGCATATACATGTGAAATTAAAACGATCATGCAATAGATTTATCTCGAGCTGGTAGTGTTCAGTTAAAGCGGCGACAGTACATAGCTATATGACCATTTCCAGTGAAAATAAAATGCCTTTTGTTAACATCAAGAAGCAATATATAGCAATCGGAATGTTAGTTTTTGTTGCATTATTTTTCTTCAATAGCCGACCGGCTTTCCAGTGCCAGATTACTTCAGAAGTTGCCCCATATCTGCCGACAATATATGGAATAACCCCAACCTATGCAAGACTCGCACAAAAGGCTGATCTCACAAGGTAATCCATGATTGTTATGGCCTTGGTTTCAATAGTCTTGCTTGTTATTTGATTTGTTCTTTGGCAATCTAATAGATGTCTATAGTTTACGCGAGTAGTACACATTTAAATAAAACACTTTAACGGTTTAAAACGCGATATATTAGTTAAACTTATTTGAAAATGATTTTTAACTTCGGCCCGACGTTTCGGATGCTTTGCAGCAGCCGTGGTCACGGGGAGACCCCGTGACCACGGCTGCTGCAAAGCATCCGAAACGTCGGGCCGAAGTTAAAAATCATTTTCAAATAAGTTTAACTAATATATCGCGTTTTAAACCGTTAAAGTGTTTTATTTAAATCTAATAGATCTTAAATAAGTAAAGGTCTTTTGCATTGCAAGATTTTTAAGAATCGTAATATCATAGGTAGCTGATAATATTGCTATAATATAATGTAGCAATCTCTATTATATTAGAGGAATTTGGTTGTTGTTGGTGAAACTGATTTTTATTTAAATGTCAATTAATTAATTCCAATTTTACTTGTATCTACAAGTAAACTAAATGCACTTACTACTAATAAAATTGACCATGGGTGCTCAATATACAACATTAATTATTTAATAATTAATATTATTCTAGATTGTCTCAGACATTGATGCTAGTTAGAAATTTTCATTGGGTGGTCATAGAGGACTCTGAAACGAAAACTAAATTAGTTGCAAATCTACTGAAGGAATCAACTTTGAAATATACTCACCTCAATGTGAAGACTCTAAAATCAAAGCATTCTACTGTAAGTATTTGTTTTTCATACTTTTGCGAGTATCTTTAGGTTTAGATAAAATAATGTTAAGTTTTTGATATTTGGTATGAGTAGCTTGTGTGGTGAGAGAAATTATCTGTATATGGAGGCTATATAGTACAAAATTTTCAATTATAAGCAACTATAGTATTTAACTTAAAAAATAATTGAACATGTTAAATGTCTGAAATAAAAACAGCAATTTAAAAGTCTTGCTTTAACTTTTATCTTGAAACTTTTGGTGTATGCTATTTTGCTGTACAATATAAACTTATCAAGATAGCATGACTGTCTGCCGTTAACAGATTTACTTATTTATTATTATTACTCTACCTGCTCAAGTTAAATACAATTTGTAAATATGATCCCTGGTTAGAATGTCTTGATCCTTTAACTATGCCGTAAATTTACCACCATTTTGTGTCTTAAATCATATATTTTTCTGCATGTTAGTATTTCTGAGGGTCCTACCACCATTTGTGATCTTTCAGGCATTGGATATCAATGTATGCATTTTTAAAACATCCAGATACTACACATCTTGGTATTGTGTATGTTTCCAATTATTTTTGTGTGAATATTTTTATATTGTTGTGTTCGCTAATAGACTGAATTAGACACTAATTTTAATAATAGCTGTTGAGTTTTTTTTAATGAATGCTATTATTAAAATTAGTGTCAAATTTTTCTGAATTAGACACTAATTTTAATAATAGCTGTAAATCTTCTTATATTTTAGATGGTAATTGTTTTTTGATAACCTATATATTCTTACTTTGTGTTCATAAAATTAACTATTAACACAATTGACATTAAAAGAGTATTTTTAGTTGTGTCATGTGTGCTTAAGAATACAAAAAAAGTACAGCAGTACAATGGTCATAATTTATCCTATCATTCATAAATAATCCAAATTATAGAGTTGAACTAACTAGTTAGAATAAATGTGTTAAGAATCTCTTATGAGAATATAACTTATGTGTTTGTTCCAATAAATAATTATACAATTTGAACACCTGCTGTACATATTTGTCAATGACATTACATGTATCATAAAATAATAATAAATGATTAATATCTGAAAATCCTCAGGCTAGTGGAGTAGAACAGAGAAATGCTGCTCTAAGCTGGCTTAGAGACCATTTACGACAGGCCGAAGATAAGAAGGGCGTAGTATATTTCATGGACGATGATAATACTTATGCGCTAAAGGTGTTTGAAGAGGTAAGTTTAGCACATTACTACTTATTTTATAGCTGATATAATATTCACACAGTTGATATTGTAATAATCATTGTTTATATTTTCAGAGAAAGGTATGTTAACTTCACATAAAATACATAAACAATTAATGATCTGTTTGTTATTGTTTTTAATAAACGAACAATTCTTTAATGCATTCATTTGTTTGTATTACACATAAGTAATTGAAATGTGTAAATTAAACAGAGTCTAGTTAAATTTTATAATATCTAAAGTGAAAGAACCCTCTTAATGCGTTTCTGTATCTTTACAAAATGTGTATTATTTGAAATACTTCATCCATTGTTTAAAAATAAAATAAAAAGACAAATAGATGATGAATCATACATGTTATATTTCTTCTAAGATGTTATTAATTGTTGTCAATTCATCTATATTTATGATGTACTAGGTAGTATAGTAGACAGTAGTCTAGTAAGGTAAAAAAGTAGCAATATATTTGTCATGGTTAATATAATAGGTTAAATAAAAAATTGGTTGTACACTTATATAGACCTTAAGTTTAGTAGTAATATTTTATCTTTAAATTTCAGATGAGAAAAATAAAGCGAGTCGGTGTATGGCCTGTGGGCATAGTGGGTGGTATGAGAGTAGAAATGCCTCTAGTGACCGATGGGAAGGTAACTGGCTACAACGCGGTGTGGAAGCCGTTCAGACCGTTCCCCATTGATATGGCTGGATTCGCGATAAATGCTACCCTGTTCTTGGACCATCCAGAAGCGAAGTTCTCGAGGAAGGTCCAGTCTGGATTCCAGGTACGGTTATTATTATGACACAATGGGGGCAGGATTACCTTAGCCAAAAACACTATCTTAAGTATAGTATATGTTTTAATGATAGAGATGATAGAATAATAGAGATGGTAGGTGACTAACCCCAGTCGTATAACATCTTAATAAGATGCTGTCGGCCTATTTTGGCTTTGGATTGTCGATATGTCTGTCTCATACCCTCTCTTTACATCATTCATAGTCATAGTGTAATAATAGCTAGTAAAAGATAAAGAATTCTTATGATTTACGAGATGCATAAACACAGTTATAAATGAGATAAAGGAATAAAGAAACCCAGTTTGCATTCTGATAGTGCAGAAGTGAAATTTTTAATAATAACTTTTTGTTGTTTTTGCCGATGAGGGATTTATTTTGTAAGAATTGCATTGATCTTTGCAAATATTATAAAGCTTAAGAGTTTATGTTTTGGTTTAAACGCCCTAATCTCTGGGAAGCTCTGAGAAAATAAATACGGTGCCCAAAATAACTATTCCACATGGAAGACGTCACGGGCACAGCTTATATTTAAAAAAGTACTAATTTATTAATTGCGCTGTCGTGACACACACACGTGACAATTTATAATATTGTCTATTTTCTTCCTTACAAATCTATCATTAATATTTTTTACATCGATAATTAATTATTTTATATATCTCTATATTAAAATCACTTCATTTAATTTGTAATGTAACGTTGATTACACACTCACAGTGTTATCATGATATTTCCTTTTGATAACGCCAACACTCGAATTATAAATAAATCTGTTTTAGTTTTAAATGTGTTGATTGCATTCATCCATGTTAAAGTAACATTTAAAAGCAGATATAGTAATATGTCTGCGTTTGAATTATTTATATAATTAAGATTTTGTGCCCTGCCAACTTATTTGAAATCGATTTAATTACATCAGAAATCGTTTCGAACATCACACAATAAAAATTTTACTATGTAATACATAGGTTCAAATAACCTACTTTTGTCACCGGTCCGAAACGAAAAAAAATTTATACATTGTATATAAAGAAGAATATTCTTTTAAATAAAACACTTTAACGGTCTAAAACGCGATAGACGTGGGAGACTCCCCCCCGTGACCACGGCTGCTGCAGAGAATCCGAAACGTCGGGCCGTAGTTAAAAATAATTTTCAAAGAAGATTAACTAAAAAGTCATAGTGTTTTATTTAAATGTGTACTAGTCGCGTAAACAGGAATATTCTTTTACAAACCTACTTGGGTTTTTATTTATACGTTGGTCTTGTGTCCCCAATTATAAATTTATTATTGTACGAAGTAAGACCTAATCTTAAGAGAGTTAAAGCTTTAAATGTAGATATAAAAAGCAAATACAAGTACTTGTTATACGCATTTATTTGACCTTACCACGCCACAATCTGATGAATTTACATTCTTCATTAATTAGGTAATTTTGACCGTGAAATTTATTTAGCAACGGTGCGAGTTACTTATATAATGTACGTAATGTACAGTAGTTATATATGTATAGTTTCCCACTGCGAATTCAACGAGGTCAGTAGAATTGACGATAAAAGCCCATTCGGGTCTAAGGTCGACTGCGATAAGCCTTACTTTCACTTTTTATCGTATTTCCTGCTTATTAAATATGTTGACCCTTCCAGTTTCTTCACCCATATTATAAGTGTAACGGTTTAAAACGCGATATATTAATTAGGTAACTAATATATCGCGTTTTAAACCGTTACAGTGATTTATTTAAATGTGTACTCGCGTAAACTATAGACAGTATTTAAGACTACTTACTTTTTTAATTTTAAGTGACTCTTTGTTATTGCAAAATTTCATTTATAAATATAAATAAAGGTTATCCTCTGTGATATATCAGCTACATATTTGTTTCCAAAAGAACGACATTTTTAACGAAAGCATTTGAAAATTTTAAAGTATTTCACAATTATGTTTGTGGTCACGATGGTATTATATAAATGAAGAATCTATTTAGTTAAAAAAATTACGACACAGTCGGGATTTGAACCAGTATGCACAACTGCTACTGCCCTAACCTTTGACACGGTAGCTCCATTGGAAAACAAAAGCTAAAAAGCACGGAAATCTGTTGTTGCCGGTTCAAGCGCTACCCCTGTCGCAATTGTTAACCTTAATTTAATCAACAACATATAGAATATTATACTGGTAAAAAATAAATCCCATTTTCCCTACTTGGGGTATGGGGCTATCTACATACATTTCACTGCTTAATATAGGCTATGCATTATCTTTTTTAGTGAATCTTTCGTCATAAAATTACAGGAGAGCGAGATTTTAAAGTACTTCACAACACAAAAAGAATTGGAGCCGCTAGCAGACAACTGCACGAAGGTGTACGCCTGGCATACACGAACCCAGAAACCGGCCATCACGAACCCAAAGAAGCTGAAAAACCCGCCCATACCAGACAATCATATTGAAGTTTGAAAGTATTTAAGTAAGGTTGTATCATGTCTCTCAATAATACTGTTAGGCACAGCTTGTAAGGGCAGTTCCTAAGTGATGCCTCCAAAGTTATGTCCGAATGTCCAAAGCCAAAATAGATTGACATTGAATCTCGTTTATATGTTTTATGGCTGGGGTATTCCACCTTTTATCAAGATGGTTGTCTCTCCTTTGTAAACAAAATATTTAAATAAAACACTTTGGATTTAACTGCGAAATATAATAGATATTGTTGAGTAATGTTAACTATGACCCGACGTTATGGATGCTTCACCGTTGCCATGGTCAGAAACGACGAAACGAAATCAAGACGTGGCGCTCTAAAAAAAATATTAACTGATATATTTCGCGTTTAAACTGTTAAATGTACTATTGACGTAAACTACAGCCAAACATCTTGCGCAAGCTATATAATAACTTGACTCAAACTGCTCATGCCCGGCTTGTCTAACATAATGACTCTATGAAAGTGAAAAAATCGCTTTTAATTAGATCATTGATATAGGCTTATAAGATAATATTTTAAAAATTGATTTGAAGATCAAACCCACTGCGTATTTTTCGTGCCTTTATTTTGCTCTTATACTTTTGTATTACATTAATACATTTTCGTATTAATATTGTATTATTAGTTTACAATTAAGCAATATTCAGCTTTAAATTGGGAAAACCGTAACGGAACACTTATTTTCTTTAACAATTTTATATTTTTTACCTATGGCAATCATAAAGATAATAATCATCGTATTTTATAGGTGATAAGATCAATCTTGATGACATAACATGATAGTTTAATTGATATTTGTCATACTGAGATTAAAAAGAAGAGCATTAATAATCCTCTGCAAATATACCCATAATATAAATTATACATATACTATGCGCTCTTCGTAAAAAAAATGTATTAAACTAATGGTAATTGAAAATAGGCGTGGCGAAAAAAAAATCATTCAATCTATTTCCTTCTTACTGCTTTGTGTGCTGTACTTATTAGTTTAAACATTCATTGTTGATTATTACTTTTTCAAGTCACTAGTTTGTCCTATCTTCTCCAATACAATAGAAACAGGTATTAATTAAAACAGTAGAGAAATGACTAAAGACAACATATACATTTTTTTTCCAGTATTATTTATATTACTTTGTGTTTAGATAATATACATTTTTAGTTGTTTGACTGTCAACATGAAAACATAGTGCTATGTGACACTAGTCCAATATATTTATCCTATTTTTAGTTAATACTCTTTTTCTTTCAAAAGTAATAACTCCATTATTGTATAATAAGCCTCGTCAAAATGTTGCCATATGTACGCAACGAATTTTTAGCAAAATTTTGGCAGTTTATTTTTCTGTTTTGATTAACGACTTAAAACGGTAAAACAAACTCGCTCCTCATTAGTTACTCTATATTTTATTTATGTTTATTTAACTGTAGGACTTAGTATTTTATAGTGAATGATAGTAATAACCATGAGACATTTTAAAACGCACAAAATTCAAACATGCTGGTTCCTCATTTTTCATATTAAATAGCTTTAGTCTATAACATACGAAATAGATAGCATGTAATCTAATAACCCCATACGTATACATTATATGACTGCGACGTATTTTACAGAAAAATAAAGTTATGTACTCATACATTTTTGAAATTATTCCTAAGTTATTAAATATTAATTCTTAGCTCAGTGTTGCCAACGAAGAAAATATTGAGAAGTAAATTGTGGTAGTATATAATGCAATAGAGCCTCATAATTTATTAATAATGTATAGCAAAATATCACAATTTATTTCTTTAACAACTTCTAAATGATAGATATACATTGGCATAATTATATTAATTTTATTTGCATTTATATATGATCACTGTAAGTAAAAAATTATACCTAAAAAAATTGTCTACCATCCTGACGTTTAACTGCGCGAGAGAGACAGAACTACTCTGTTTATAGATTTAGTATTTTTAAGCAAAGCCTAAAACTCAGTTAAGATAAATTTTATCCCATTTTTAGGACATTTTAATTTTAATTATATTTAACACCGCATAATATTTAGATTATAGAATACGCTCAAAGCTATCGGACTAATAATTTCGTCATGCTAGTGGATGACAGTAATTTTTGTACTTATTTGGATTCTGTGAATTCTTTATTTCAATATTATAATAATTAAGATTTAGTAGTCAATTTTCTGTCGAATATCGTACTAAGAATCTTAGTTTTGACTAAAACATGAAACACGGTGTGTTAATATTAAAAAAAATATATTAGTACGATGATATTAGAAGTATGTTATTGACTATACGAATAATATGACCGTATAGATAAAATGTATATAGATATATCCCTATCAAATTCAATGCGAATAGTGCTTTTATTGTAGTCTATATATGCCCTTACAATGGAATGAATATAATATAGAAATCTGTTCATACATATAGTAATTTTGAAAGTGATTATCGTCACAACCAAACAATATCTTCTAAGTTTTGACTTTATTCTGAATTCTGATGTTGCGTGAGTAAAAACTAAACAAAAGATAACGTTGTATACCATTTATTTGACTAAAACACTAAACGGTTTAAAACGCGAAATATATGTGTCAATATAATTTAATTTAACGGATGATTGTGGCCCCCCATGACGGCTACTGCAAAGGATTCGAAACTCCAGTCCATAGTTAAATAAATTGTAACTAAGTTAACTAATAAATTTCGTGTATTAAACCGTTAAAATACTCTTAGTAGTCGCGTAAACTACTGACAGTACGACAGTACATATTTGATTCTTCCATGCTGGTATTAAGACTTGATTGTTGTATACTATGATATTTGCTAAAATGAGTTAATGTGCTTACTATTTGTGCCCTTGTTCTGTATGGGATTGTGGGAAAGAGACAAAGCTATTAACTCGTTATGGTGAAAAAGCTACTTCTACCATATAGTCGATTTTACTAATGTAAATGGTTATTTCCCTCAGTGATAGAATTTCAACTGTCCAAGTTTTAAAGAAAAAAAAAATGCACAGGGATTGTTAATTACGGTCGTGTAGAAAGTATAATAATTATATGATCATTTTGTAAAAGAGAACAGAATAAAAAGAATTTAATCAAGTTGTTTTTATTGTAGTGATATTTAGTTTGTCTCTAATTTTTTTTGTCTTAGTCCATATTAAGTTTCAATAGTTTTGCATGAATTGTCCCAGATGAATTCAGGTTCAGTACTAGAAGAAGAATCACCTATAGACAGTGGCGTAGCTAAATGACCAAGGGTCCCGTTGCATAGAGAGAGAATCGAGACCTCACCTCCTCTTTCTTCTACCTTCAGGAGCTGGCGAGTTGGCTGACTCGCTATTTTCAAAGCTTAGGGCAAAGGGCCCCTCGAGGTCCAGTACTGTACCACTGGGCCCTACGATAGTCACTGCCTATAGAGAAGATTACTCTTGTTAAACGTTTGATGCATTGTTGTGACTTGATATTCACTATAACAAAGTAATGCCACGTAAGTTCCCAGTTTTATCGACTTTTGAGCTAAAAAGGGTAAAATCTATAAAAAAGCACTTAAACCCAACAAAAAAAAGTCAAAGCATAAAATCTTGCATGATTGTGTGAAAAAGTAACCATTACAGTAATTCTAAAAGAGATGTAGATTGTTTCTCTTAGTTTGTTACTTTTATTCGGGATGAAGAGGTTACATTTCGGAATGAGTTACAACTGGGGCTCAAAAGATGGCGTGTATGTCAATTCTTGTTATTAGAAGTATGCAATATTTGACTACGGACTTGGGACTACTTTACCGTAAGTGAATATAGTAGCTTATACCGAAGCTTTTTAAAATAAAAATAGTATAAATCTTACCTACTTATTCTACCTAATTCTTTCTCTCGTTTAGTGCACGAAACTGCTACGATTTAACGTAGGCTTCGTCGTATAATTTGACATTAAAGCAATGTAATAAATAGTTTTTATTTTATTATGAGTAAAAGGAAATTTTAGATAAATTGCTGCGTAGAATACATATAACGTTCATTGTTAAAACCTTTTTCTCCCGACGTGAATATAAAAAAGCTAGCATTCTTAGCGATGGGTGTTCCAAAATTTCGAACTTTCAAAGTTTTTTACGACTTAGTTAAGTAACGCCATTCTCTGTTCATTAAAGGCGATAGGATTTTGTTAAGAAAATACTTTTAATCTATTTTTTTCTGAAACTTAATAATCGAACAAATTTAACAATCGTTTGATATATTTATCAAACGATATAATCCAGTCTCTTATATCAAAGTCAATAAAGCATTTCCTTAACTACATTTTCAACACCAGAAAAAATATTTACTTACCAAATTGCTAACGATCTTAGACTGCGTTAACGCGCTTTGGGTTCTTATCCGGAGAAACACGATTTTTTCTAGTTATACCATCAGCGACTTGCCTGTGTAAAACATTTCGTTAATTGTGACTGGTTTATTGTATTAAATTGTTAACTAAGTTACAACATTTTTTACCTTTTATTTTAAATATTAATAATGTTTTGATAATAAAAAAGACCGAAAATATTTAACTACGAAGCCAATCAGTCTTATTGCAATTTACAACGCACAAAGACCACTAATGAGCCTTTGCGCTTATACCCAGAACAAGTGCATTGATTGCTCTCCCCGATACTGTAATAACTCTACCACTAGAGGATATTCCATGGATTGAAAGGAATGCGTGATTCGCTGTACAATTTCTGCAGTCTAACAATTTCCAAGGTAGCTAAGATTTTATACGCATTTTAAATAAGTATTAATTGTTGGTTATTGATATTATTATATTAATTAATAATTTATATTCTTTATTTATAGGATAAACCGCATCGTTGCACTAGTCTGTTAAGTCATTTCAGACACGTCATGTATTTTTTCATACTACTTTGGTGAGTATACAATATACAAAGCGATAAATAATATGTTTAAAAACTTTAATAAGTATTTATTCCATAG